CCTAAAGTAACCACAAAGGATGGCCTGAAAACTAAAAGCAGTTTATGGCAGGTTGTCATGTCCTAGGCTGACATTTTCCCTGACAAAGGTCAATCTTCACCTTAACTGAGCCTGTCTATTGTCTTTTTGCATCTACGATAACATATTGTTGGAATATCAAAGCAATTTCCCTTTTCCCAGACCCCTCAAAGCACAGGGGAGACCACAAATCTCCTCACTGTCTTAATTGTTGACTTAACTATCCTGCACCCACCTAGGTAAAAGATATATGTGTCTCTCATTTTATTTTTCATCCAATCCCAGAGGTTTCCCCGCTTGGCTTTCTCCCACCTCCCTAATCGATAACCAGTGGATTTCATGTAACCCACTTGCATCTGCTCTTTTGACTGTAATGTATAAAATAAGGTGTAAAATTGCCATTCTCTCGAGCATTATCTCAATCTATTGAGGTTTTGCTTCCCAGAAACTGTCAACAGTTTGGCTCAAATAAACTCACAAAAATTTTCTATAGGTTTGAATGTTTCTTACATTGACAATCCTAAAGGTAACATGGCAAAAAAAAAGGGGGGGGGGCCTCAGGCAATTTACTTTAAAGGCCTAAAGCCTCAATGTCCTTATCTGTAAACTATAATCTCCTCATAGAAGCTTCTATAAAGTTAGATAAGTCTATAAATACAGCAACGAACTTAATCCAAATGCCCATTTGTTGGGAACGGGTTAATTAATTTACTGGTAAACACACTGGTGTGTGTGTGGGTGTGTGTTTTATTTTATGGCTAGGATGCAGTCCCCAGTTATTCAATTAGACACTATGCTAGGTGTTGCTGTGAAGGGATTTGGCAGATGCAGTAAGAGCCCCCAATGAGACATTACGATAATGAAGCATCCTGAATAATGTGGATGGGCCTGGTTCAATCAGTTGAAAGGCCTTAGAAGCAGAAGCCTTAAAAGCTGAAGCTTCTGTGGGAAAAAAAAGAAGAAATTCCACCTGCGGACAGCAGTTTCGCGCATACCTGTGAAATCATCCTGCTCACTCTCTTCCCCTCCCTGCCTGCGGGCAGCTCGGTCTCGCCCTGAGCTGCTCCTGCCCGTGGCCGTCCTGTTTTCGCCACTGGCTTGCTTAGCCGGCACCCACACCACATGAGCGAATGGCTTGTAAAAGATGTATACATTTACGTCTCCACTGCACTGGTTCCTACTGGCTCTGCCTCTCCTTTGAAGCCTGACACCCACACACTGCAAGGGGATGTGCCCAAAAGGAATGAGGTGCACATTCTAGGTCCTTCCAAGCTCCCCTGAGAGTAAAGTAATAATAGTAAAGGAAATTGAAAAGGTATAAGCCTTACTTCTGGGTTAAAAAAGCAGATTGATAAAGAAACTTAATTTTGCTCCTCTATTAAAACAAAGTAAATATATAGGAAAAGGACTTCCTTAGAAATACATAAATCTAGGAATACGGGGAGAGCGGAGTCAACAACTGCCAAGTCGTTTTAGAGGCTGAAAGCAGATGGGCCAGCAGCAGCAAGGTGGAGAGCAGTGATGCCGTCGCTGTCCGGGACATTTGGATCCCACGCGGTCCAGCAGAACAGAATAGTGGCCCATTCCGCTTCCTGGCATTGCAAAGCCTTAACCAGGAGCTGTCCTGTTTTCATCATCAGAGTTAAACCGGCATCTTCCATCTGTGAAGAGTCACCACGCAGGAGCGTGACCACTCACAGGCCAAGTGCAGAGCAGCACTGTTCATCTTGTCTTTATCATTTGTGGACCCTGGGAAAGAAGATTCCACTAAGAAGTGCTCCCAGTGGCTAACAGGGCTCAAATTTAAAACACGGAGTCTAGCAGTCATTTCTACACAGGGACCTCTCCCTCAAACTGCCCCTCAGGGAGGCTGCGCTGAGCCGCGTCCCCCGCACCGCCCCCGCCAGGAGCCGGCCTCCCAAAGGGGCTCCCGGACCCCCTCCAGCCAACAGGGCTGAGGCCCCCCAGCCGAGCAGAGCTGCGCAGCCCTGTCCCACCAGCTTCTTCACTGGCCAATCAGGACAGTGCCTTTTGGACCAATCAAGCTACAAGGATTTTGAGTCCTCCTTTGCAGGAGGGTGGGCCAATCGGGGGATCGGGAGTGAGTTTTTCTGTCTATATAAGTCTGGTCCCCTCTGGAACTGCATTTTCCCTTTCCACTGAAGATTGAAGACGTTGTCTCCCCAGCTGGAGCAGAAACACTGAAGATGTCTCACCAGAGCAGAGCGGAGCAGCTCAGGAGCAGAGCGGAGCAGCACAGGAGCAGAGCAGGGCCGAGCAGCACAGGAGCAGAGCCGAGCAGGGCAGAGCAGCACAGGAGCAGGACAGGGCAGGGCAGGGAAGGGCAGAGCAGGGTAGAGTGGAGCAGCACAGGAGCAGAGCAGTCTAGCTGGAGAGGGCCTGGCCCCTAGTTCAGAAATCCTATCTTACATTCTTCAGGGAGGAAACTTCCCAGCTTCTGCCAAGTTGAAGGAAATGCAATAGCCCTAGAACTTGGAATCAAGGAAATGCGTTTCTCACAGGCCTTCCTGAATTCCATATTCAAGCCATCCCTCCACTGACTGTATTTCTGCCAGACAGTGAGCCCTGGTCTGTGGAGAGAGCTGCCGCCAGAACTGATTGTGGTGACCCCACTGTTTCCAGGAATCCTTCAAGTCCTTGCTCACTGACGTTCCCAGAGGGGCTCTTGTAGATTCCTAGGGAAGCTGAGGTTCACTCTGACCCACGGATCGCATTCCTTTTTCTGGCCAACTTCATCTAACAGTGGCAAAGTAGTTCTTTCCCCACACAGCTAAATTTGTGCTTGATGCCCAGTGCTTTTAAAACTGAACATTATATTGTTTAAAGATACCTCCAGCAGGGGTAAAAACAGACAGGAAAGCAAAGACATGATTAAACCCCAAGTCAGTAAACGCCTGCTTTAGTGAAAAACGTGGAGAATTCAACCGGGTTGGGCATAAGGTGACTTTTAGGGTAGGGGTAGTATTCTGCTCCTTAAAGACAGACGCCATCCATTTTATTACTCTTTGGAGCATACATTTACATTATCTATGTCCTTTTGTAAGCATGACACATTTCACACACACAGACTCGTAATAAGTAGCAAGGGGGAACCATCAAGAGACAGGAGGCCATATTCTGGAAGGTATGAGCAGATGGGAGTATGAACTAAAGCAAGAAGATTGAGGAAACTCACAGACTAGCATGCCTGTGGAAGGGCGCGGAGAAGGCCCGGCTGCCCAAGGCCCAGACTTAGAGCCCTTTCCCCTGGGAGAGACCGTCACTCCAATGCCAGCCGAGCTTCCCCATGGTGAGTTAGGCTTGCTCTTTGCCCCACCCTGCACCAACCACTTTGCTCAGCCTCAGAGCTTTGTCTCAGCCAAGAAGAGGCCCGAGGCTTTGGGCCAGTGCTAGGCTCCTAACCCAGACTCCTTCAGTTTCTGCTCCTAAGCATCAGGTGTCAAGCTCACCTCCAACCTCTTGCAAAGTCTGTGTCAGGGCTCCCGGGCCTGGGGTTTGCTCAGCCTCTGCAAGGCCAGGATGAGGTCAGCACAGGCGTCAACATGGGAAGGGGCCTTGGGATCATCTAGTCAATGCTGTCTTTGGAGAACCAAACGCTGAGGCTGAGAGAGAAATCGTCCAAGGCCTCATGGCTAGAGTGAAGTCAGCTCTGCTTTTCTAGAATGACCTGAGCCAGGATGCAACAAACACCAACCTGGGGTGGAAACTCAGGTGGCAGTGACCCCCTCCCCATCCCTTGTTCCCAGCCTGGTTCAGAGATGAGCACGAATTCCCTCCCAAAGCTGGTGAGTGTGTCCCAGGGCTGCCCTGCATGGCCTCAGTGCATCCAGGAACGGTCCATGATCTCATCAATTTGACTGGTCCTCCATTTTTAAAAGGGAGAATGGATTTTCCCTTGTAATTATAGAAGAAAACTGTTTCCCAAAGAAAATTTGGAAAACACAAACATCTAAAAACAAAATTACTCATAATGCCGCAAGTATAAACTGTTAAGGGTTGGGCAACGTAATTAAGCTCTTTAAAAGAAACCAGTCCTAAAAGGAGCAGCACCCTGATCCCATTTACCTTTTAGGTGACAAAATCGATGCAGCAGCTGCCCCCCTGAGCCCTGAGTCTGGGCTATCAAGGAGGTGTGGCGGCTCCGTGGCTGGGTGCATATGGGTACAGGGCTGCCCTGGGTCCCAGCCAGCTGCACGGCCGCACAGTTCTGACTCCGGTGGCCACAGGTGAGGCCGAGTGCAGGTCCACAGTGGAATCTGCAGTAGAGGACCAGGGATTGGCCCAGCCACCACAGCAGCAAGAGGCTTTTCCAAAATGTTGCCCTCAAGCTCCTCCAGGCAAAAAGAGCATTAGAGGAGGGCTCTTCTGTGACCCGGTCTCAGAGCATTTCATGAGGCCAGCCCTGGCTTCCTGGCCACTTTTCCCAGCTTTCCTGCCACCCGCAAAACAGGCTTTTAGGCCCAGGCCCTGCTCCAGAGAGCCATGTGATGCTGGCTGGTATTGCAGCACAGCCCCCATGCCAAGCCGGGCCCTCCTTAGTCTGGGGCCTGGACCGGGCCTTTCCCCCATACAGACAGAGAACACACGGGAGCCCTTCCCCTTTGCCTTCCACGGCCCAGCCCAAACCTGCAGACCTGAATGTGAGGATGTGAGGTCTGGGTCTGAGTCTCACAAATCAGCCACCTGGTTGCAACCACCACCCCAAGGTGCTGGACAGATGGATGGAGGGAAGGACACACGAACGATTGCACGGGTGGGAGGAGGGAGTCAGAGAGAGGCTGACGCAGCAGGTGAAAGGGGCTCCTGATTGTCACCAGAGCTGGCAAGAGCCTCATACATCAGCCAGTTCCGGTGGCGCGGGGCGGGGAGGAGAGCCGCCTCAAACTCGGGAATAAAGGGAAGCTGAGGGAGCAGGAAGAGATGGGAAACAAGTAAAGTACAGGTACCTTCATCGCAACAAGTTACAGAAATTGACCTTTATTTATTGTACTAAAGTCTGTTTAACTTTTGATACAAAGTAAGGTTTCAGTACAGAAAATCCCAGCCTGTCGGAACAGTACCTGTGCTCGCTGTGCCGCCGAGCCCACGTCTGCCGCTCAGAGCCGCGGCCCAGAGCGCGCGCGTGAGGCCTCGGGGCGGCCCACGCGCCTTAGCTGTCGGAGCTAGAAAACTTGTACCTGTAACACAAAGGGCAGCACTGAGGACTGAAACATGTTTCTTTTTGAACAACTGTGCAAGAAAATATATCCCTTTTTAAAAAATGTCAGTATGGCGAAACTACAATCTAGTGTCTAGAATTACAAAGAATAAAGTGAAACCAACGATTTCTTGCCAGTAAAATGAAATGTTAGGAACAGTATTAAAATATAGGTCCTACCCGTGACGCTTACACGGAGCCCCGTACAGTACCTATTATTAACAGGACGCACAGTTTAGGGAGGAACCACATCAGACCTTCAGCCAGAGACATCCAGCGTCAGAAGTGCAAAAAAAAGAAAAAACAAAACAAATCCCGAACGAAGACGTCCTCATGGAGCATTGTTCATGCCGTGAGTCTGCAGCCAAGACTGAAAGATCCCATTCTCTTTTCAGATTCTGACGGTGACAACACAAATCACTAGGCTTCCCCGAAGACTCTCAACTCGGTTTGAAACAATTTTCATATCCACAGAGCTGATGCGTGTGCCCACTCTACAGTTTAAGAAGTACCCTGCAAACATTGCGCTGAGAAAGGCTGTCGCTATTTACAGAGCCCAGAGGACTCACTGGCCTGCATCAGCTGAATATCCTGCCCAGAATGAGTTGTCATTGTGAACCCAAGAGGCTCCGATGGACCGGAGAGAATGCTGAAATGATAAAGGCAGGCGGAGAAGAAATGAGAGGGCGTAGAAGGCAGGGGGCAAGTCTGAGACAAGTCTGTGGGACTGCCAGTGTCGCCTTCCCTGGTGCAGGTGGGGAAACCACTGCGGCTGGCGAGTCGGCCCCACAAAGGCACTGGTTCTGCCACCACTGATGTCTAAGCATCTGCCGTCCCAATGTCCTGCCAGGAGAGATGCCACCGAGGAGCAGAAAGCTTTCAGAGCTCTGGTCCCAACAACAAGAACCTTCCAAAGCAAAGCAGCCCCATGAGGTTCCAGAGTTGTTTTGCTGAAAACAGGAACAAAACCAACACCAAAGCAACACGGGGGATCGACAGAGGGGCAGGGCTGGGCACCAACGTGGGCCGTTCAAGTAAACGTAAACAACCAAATACTTAGAAAAGGCTTGTAAACTTGTGGTGTGAAAGGTTCTCTTTGCAGCATCTCTGGTCAGCTGGCTACCGAAGGTTGGTGGTGAACCTCTCTAGCAAAGTCGTTTGTGGTTTCTGTTTTGTCCTAAAGCACACGTGTGAGAGGAAGACAGTCTGCTGGGCTGGGCCCAGATCCGTTCGTCTGCAGCCCTCTGTCTCCAAGGAGGTGCTTCTGGAGGCCTGCTTGTGGATCCTTCCCCTTCATGCTCATATTCAGACAGACTCTATTTTCAGTCACTGAAGAGCTGTGCCAGGTCCTGGCACAGGCGGGCGAGCCGCGGTCACTCCGCAGCACAGCGTCCTCTACAGCGGGCAGGCTGGAACCCACAGGACCTTGCTTTGTTCTTGATTGACCAAGGCCAGGATCTGAGCACAAATGCTTGACAAGGCTCCTCCCTGAACGACCCCTGCAAAAGAGCCCCCAAACACACGTACTGAGCTCAGAAAAGACCCAGGCTGGAGACAAACACACCCTTTACCCTTTGTGTTCCTCCACCTGTTCTGAGCCACTGCCTCGCTCCAGCCCCTCTCTTCCATCAGCAAGAAATCGGGGAAGAAAAAAAATTAAGAGTTGAACACAAACCACTTTGGCTTTTTATCTGTTTCTCTGGTAAACTATCCAGTAAAATCCTGAAAGTATGGGCTTACATGAAGGTGGGTGTCCAATTTTGCCAGGCTTCCCGGCCCCTGTCACAGGGTAACCAGATTTAACCAAGGGCATCACATGTGGGTATGCTTAATGCCCAGTTTTGCCCTGGGGAGTCCAGCTTATTGGAAAGCCATTGGGGGTGGGGGATAGTTGATGGTCTAATCAACAGGAGAATTCTGTAGGAAACAGGATGGGTCTAGGAGCTGGAAATCCCATGGACCAGAGAGGATTCCCAGAAAAGATGGTGACGTTTCCATGTATGGCCCAGCCCTGCTCACAGGCTCAGACAGCGCCAGTGGACAAAGCATGTCCCAGATGCCTGCCATGGGTACATACAGGAATTGCTGGGGAGTGTTTAGAAACTGCTATAGATGTGTGACAGTAACTGTGTGTCTGTTAAATCTAATAAAAAGGCAAGGCTTGTATTTTATATGTTTGGAGTTTTAAATTTTCATTGCTCTAGTAACTATTAATGTATTTGACTAAAATATTGGTTTGTGATGGGCTGGAAATTAAAACACATACACACATAGATAGATGGAAGCACCAAGGTTGGTTCTGAGAGCAACTGTTGCATGAGAAGCACCAGACTAGGTCACAGCACCCTCTCCGCGTTCATTAAAATTGCCGTCCCCACCTCTCTCTGACCACGTTATTAAACCCCCCTACGAATGACTGATGTTTATGGAAGAGGCTGAAAGCCAGAGTCGAGTGACAGCCAACAACTGGAGCCATCCTTGCTTTCGTTTGCTTTGTTTCAATGACCGGGAATGGTAATGACGCAGCTTTTCTTCACCAAACCTCAAAGCCAAACTGACCTGCCCTGGAGGGTGCTGGGAACACAGGGTCACGGCCGCCACTACTGTGCTGCCTGCCTGGAGCACTGAAGCTACGCTATAGACTGTGAGACAGACCCACCACTGCACAGGTAAAAACTGGGCGGACAAGGCCAGACCATAACCTGAGGCCAAATCAGTGAACTTTACCTCTCAAGCTATTAAATGCCTGCCATCAGAACCCCTGCAATGAAATGCTGACAGGGGCATTCAGCAGGCACTGGAAAGCATGGGCTGTTACCACTTCTAAGAACAGTATCTTTGGGACCCGATTCCATCCCCTCTGCGTGCTGCTCTCCAAGCTGAACGCACACCTACCTGTGAAGTACCTACTGTACTCCTGCTCGATCTTCTGAGCCGTCTCAAACTGCTCTTTGGAATGTCTCTGGGTCACCTTGTCCTTCAGGTAGATGGGGTCTCTCTGTTCCCTGTGGGGACATTCAGAAAACCGAGCTGAGCCTCTCGCTTCCCCAGGCCTTCCTCTTCCCTTCTTTTGTCCAGAGTAACAGGGATCCCTGTGTGCTCCCCTCACGAAGCACAGCAATAGCCTGCAGGCTCCATGGGGAACTCTGGGCAGAGGGGGGAGGTGGGCACCCCTGTACATGCACATAGCAAGCAGACACCCCACTGCCCCCAAGAGCAGGTACCAGAAGCTTGGAAGCATAAAGAGCAAAACCAAAGGGGCCCTGATGAGCTGTTAGCTCAACCATTAGGGACACTGAAGGTCAGGGAAGCAGAGACTCATCCGTATCCCAAGCCACCGAGTTCCTATGTCCTCGTGAGCACCCAGCTGAGAGGCAGGAGGGGGGGGAAAGGAGAAGGGGGAGGAGAAAGGGGGAAGAGGGGAGAGGGA